GAGCCCATGGTTGCGGTGTCGGCGTCGTATTGACGCACTTTCCGAGTATACAGTAATCGCAGACCCGATGAGTCGTATAATCCACCCATGAGTTCAGGATTGTCGTAATGGATCTCAAATAAGAAATACGTTGTCTCCTCGTCCTCTGCAATAGGCATTCCCACGTTTTCCGGCAAATTGAAGGCATCGCCACCCGTCGCCCACACCTGTCCACACATTGATCGTTAAACACTTAAATAAAATCACTTCTAGAAAATAAACTCAAGTTTTCAGACCATATAAACTGATTGGCAGTGTATGAAATCGTAGGGCATGTTAGCGAAGTCCACACAATTGGCGCCGTCGTGTGAGGCGTACTGATCCATGTATGACGAGTTGGGGTGAAGACACCGGTAGAGAACCATGTGGTGAACAAATGGTGCGTTAGTTGCCGGAGATATGATGGGCTCGATCTTCAATTCATAGACAATGAAAATGAAAACAAAAGTCAACTTGCTTAAAAAATTATGTTTAAAACAAACCCTGATAACATGTATTTTCGAAGTGAACGGTGCGATCACAATTTTGCACCAGTAGGTCGTGTCGGTGTTGTTAGGTATCAACAGATTACTTGAGGTGATGTCCCACTTCTCGATTGTCTCATTATTCTTATTGTCGAAGTCATGTCCGGGAATACTCAGCAAATGAACGTTTCTGTGGCCTCTGTTGAGGGCCTTGTGTTGAGGCATAGCCACTGGTGAGGAGGGTTTGTGGTGACTGTACGCCCAAATCAGTTTAGTTATGTCTGAAGTGATTGAGAGATCTGTTTCTGTGTCACAGGTGATGAAGACTCGAGTGAATGTGAGCCATATATGAGAGCCGTTGTGTCCCGACTCCAGTAAATGCCAGTCTTGGGAGTCGTCTATTGTCGGCAACTCTTCCTCCTCGGCGTAACGATCCTAACCATACATACAATCAATTACTCAACAATTTGTGTCTAATCCATGTAACCATTAAATGAGTTCAACTCTTTCTAAACAAGTTTTTTGTGGTCAAACTTTGTGATATATGGTTAACATATACAATGAAGACTTACGTGGAAGTGTGTGACACCGTTGTCATCGACCCAACCGATAACCAGATCACTGCCAGCCATTCCACCATTCGGTGAGATACCAAAGCCCACCCAACCGGTCGTCTCGACCACCACATTGAAAGTGATCCGCTGTTTGTGGTCATCGAAGTACCACTTCAGGTGATACTTATTGTGCGGATCTAATGTTATTGAATGCATCCATTGGGAGACACATAATGTCCACACATTTGCACTCAATATGAATAGCAATCTCAAGACAAACGATTGCATTGCAAACAAACTTTGAACACAAATTATCTCTGTATTAAACCAAAAAACTAAAAACTTTTTTAATACAAACTTTTGATTAGAACTTTTAACTTGTTAAAAGTGAGCCATTTTTGGGAATCTTGAAGTTTCACTAGACTTTCAATTTCTATGCAAAAAACAGATCTACAAAAATAAGTTGTGATAATCCTTTTTATTACTCCACTATAAATGCAAATAAAATTTTTATTTATTTAATGGTTTAAACTTTTAATTGAATTTCCATTTATAGTAACATTCATTTGAATTTTATTGTTGTTATTATTATTTATACATTTAGATGTGATAGTGAAGTGTTGTATTATATTTAGGCAAATACTAGACACCACTCTCTTCTCGACTATAAGGCAATGTCGAGTGAAACGCCTTTCCCAACCACTTATGGCCTGAGGGCTAGTAGTCTATGGCAAGTCGACGAACCCCCTAATAATCCTTTTAGGCAAATACTAGACACCACTCTCTTCTCGACTATAAGGCAATGTCGAGTGAAACGCCTTTCCCAACCACTTATGGCCTGAGGGCTAGTAGTCTATGGCAAGTCGACGAACCCCCTAATAATCCTCATCCGCTTCTAAACTTTCTTTGAGAGACTCTTTTGACTACTTTTCAGTCTTATCTAAACTTTTAATTTGTTTGCTATGAAAACCCATGCAATCGTACGGCTCTCTCATTATTATGATTGCAGTGTATTTCTCATCAGTCCTTCAGCGCACAGGTATTCCCGTCAGTCACTCAATCGCTATAACATTGAATTCACAATAAAAAGCAATTCTTAGTGAAAAGTGCAAAAATATTTTCACATTAACTCAGATACTCTAGAATTTAAAATGATTACTAAGATAAAGTTTTTGTGTATCTAATATTTATTTTAATGTGTTTTTGTCAACGTTAATGTGTAATTTATTTTGCTTTAATTAACTCATTCACAGTATATTAAAGACTAATGTCTACAATCTTTTATTGCAAAAGTATTTCAAACAAATATTCTGACATTTACTCAATTTGTGTGAAGTTTGAGCTGATTTACACATTTTGTTGCTCTTTTGTGCCCAATTTTTTCAATTTAATACTTGAGGTATAAATTAGTTTTATATGAAAGCAAAAGTTTATCGAAACCAATGCATTATGATCTGAACGCTCCGATAGTTTGTAATTACAATGTTATGAAAGCATTTCACACGAAAATACAAAA